GTTGCTCCACACTAGGTCGTTAAAGTTATGGTCAGGGTCAGAGAGACACATCAGCATCGTAGCCTCTCTGTCAGCCTCGAGAGAGATCACGATGAGGACAGAAAAAAAGAAAGAAAGAAAGTGGAAGAGAAGTACAAGAAGATAGAGCAAAGAATCTGCAGCAAAACTATGAATAGCCATATGCATTCACAAGCAGCTATGTGCACGTCAGTGTGTATGTATCTTAGTATATTATGTAATCCTCAGGAGGCCACAGCTGCTTTGTCACACACAGCAGGCATGCTGGGGAGTGCAGCCAACTGCCCCCCTCCATCCTGTCTACATTTTCCCTCCCTCATTCCTACTTTCTCTCTTTCTCCCCTTTTTTCTGTTTCCTCTTATAGAATTAGCACGGTATGAATCTTTGATCTCTGCAGGTCTGTCGCGTAAGCTCAGGACTTGTGTGTTTTCCATGAGATGCACACTGCTCAAGTCTGTTGTTATACGCTGGCTGCCAGGTAACAGTGTTCTCAAATCGCTCTTCTTTGCTTCGTGGAGCACCAGCAATGAGAATGAATGAGTTTTGAATCATGTGTTTTCTGTCTGGAAGCTAAAATAAAACACGCCTCATATCTTCTCCGTGACCTTTTACAGGCTGCTATTTAATGTAATTTTATGCAAATTCAAATTAAATCAATCCTGTAACAGGCACAGTTCAGTATTCTGCGAGCAGGAGGAGGAAGGACAAACTGGGACTTAATCTTATTTGTCTCAGAAGAGCTTGTGGTAGTGTCGCTGTTCCATGCCTGTGACTTTATTAAAATGTCACATCAACTGTAAGTATGAGACATGGAATTCCTGAAATCAAGTTTGGACTCTCTAAAGAAAACTTTAGTTAATTCACTTTTAGTTTAACTGGTGTTTGATCCTGTTTGCACAAAGCCTCTCAAAATGTGTTGGATGGTAGAAAAGTAGTCACAAACCCGCACACAACAGCGGAGTCACTCCTCCTAACAGTTTCCTTTTATTCATATAATTTGCCAGCACACTTTTATTGCTGCAGTTAAAATTTCCAGACATGTTTTCAAAGTATTCCGATGAGCATACCTCATGATGCTCTGATGTCTAATGTAAAATTGATTTCTTGCAGCATTGTTTCGCTCGCTTTAACCCGATAGCAGTTGCAAGATCTTGAAGATGAATGCCATGTAGAATCTATCTGACGTGGCCTGGCCTGTGATGCACCAAGGCATGAAAGGAAGCCTTTTGTGCACCATTGCACAATGTGACATTTCTGCTGGACTCTTTTAAGTGTTTTCAGCCACAAGGTTATTACTCAGTGCATCGATTCTAAGAAAAGATGCACGTCTGTTTATGGGGGGAAAAGTCTCTAATAAAAGAGCTATGAGTTCATCTAATTAGAATAAACATAAATGAGCTGTAACCACAAAAACTCAATTTGGCTCCTGAGCAACAGCTTTTATGTTAACAAGACAGTGCTTGTGGTTTTCGGGGAATTGTAGAAGCTCAATGTTTAACTTTTGCATGGATTTAATTTGCTATTTTCTCTTTATTTTAGTGTCTTGA